GTTTCATGGACACTATGGGCAGAAAGCTGCTACTAACGGCTCAGTCCTTCAACGTCAGGGTTTAAACCACAGGCAGGAGCTTTGAAAGCTGACGGTTTGGATTTAACAGTGGAAATATGAACAATACGCCCAAACATCCTTCCAGGGCTGGGCTCTGGCTGTTCAGGTCCTTTTTCCTCTCATTGGCAGCAGGCGGCTCCGTCCTGACATTAGCAGCTCACCTCCAGCTGAAATCCAATCTATTAGCACACAGAGCCGTTTTCCTGTTCAGGTGATTAAGCTTCTCTTTGAGGCACTCAGCAGCTTGCAGACACTCCTGCCCTCAGCGTTTAATTGGATCATTTAGGTGTCGGTCCAGCAGACCCGCATGAAAGGATGTGGACCAGACGGATAAAGAGTAGAGCAGAGGTAGAGAAGGACTCCTGCAGGAGGGAGTTTCTATAAATGAGTGTTTTAAAGGGAAGGTTTGCTGATGCTGCTCGTGGTCCAGACCTTTCCCGTGTGTCTCCAGTTACTAACATGGTGGACGGTTAAAGCAAAAATGCTTCTCTGAAGGATTTACAGGTAAAATCTGAACGGTGTGACAGGTAGGTGTAATCTGATGTCCCTGGTTATCTGTAGAACGTTCTGCGTCGCCTAAAAACAGCGTCAGGCTGTTGCATGCTTTCCTACTGCAGTCTCCGGACAGCTGGAAGATGAAGAGAAGCTGTCGTCCTTCAGAGGGACACAGAACCTGAACCAGGAGCAGCTGGTACCAGAATGGTCTAGTCAAAGTTCCTCCGCTCCATGAACACCCTGAACATCCAGATGACGATGCAGCTTGAAGAATTCTCCTAAACTCAGCAGCTCACATTCAGGCAGTCAGCCGGCTGCTTTCTTTGGAATCAGAACGACGCTTAACTTGGACTCGCACACCTTCAGAACATCAGATCTTAGCCCCGCCCCGCTGGCTTGGTCAGGCAGGTGCCTTCTATCGACATCCACTCCACACACATGATGATCCCGTTTCTTTTTCTGATCTGTTCTAACATGAACTGATGATTTTAGAGCTTTTAAAATCACCCATAAGAGAAAGTTCATTTGAATACCATAGAAATGAAGATCAGCCGGATCCTCAGGGTGTTTCAGGTCCCACATCCTTCATCTGACAGCTGTCTAATGAAGACGTATGAGAAGAGTCAGAGAAAACCTTCAACATGACGGGTCCTTTCAGCGGGACGCGTCACAGTGCCGTGCTGGAACAAAAGCTGATGGAGCTCATTAGGTCAGACCCAGTGCAAACAGAGGCGAGCAGAGACGTCAGGGAGGGGACGGAGAGATGCAGCTGATGTTCTGCTTATCGATCTGCTAGTGAAGGCTCCAGCAGCTCCACTGCTCTTATCAACATGACAAGGACGACTCCTCGCACTGCAATTTCTTTTCCAAATATTAACTCATTAATCAAAGCTGCCTTCCCAGATGGATTTTAATTTAGCTCAGAAAATGTCTTCCTGCAGCCCGACCCAACTCCCAAACACAACAAGATTGGATTTTTGTCCTTGCTTCGTCTCTGTCGCTCTCTCCTCCTCTACCGCCATGCATCTGAAGCTCGTAGAGAGCGGAGACAGCCAGAAGGTGATCAAGAACGATCACTGGACTCTCAGATAAAAGTCTGGGTTCTAATAATCTGCAGGATTTTAATCCTGGACAGAGTCCCTGTTACAACCAGCTGAAACCAGTCAGCCGACGGTGTGGCCAAGTCACGACGCCAGGCGACTGTGGGCCTGTTGGTTCATCTGATTTCTAAATCAGATCACTGTTTATCTGTTTTCTAAAGCTGTAAATGTGCTGTCACTGGGAATCCCCAGCAGCAGCTGCCTCAGGCCCGCTCGCCTCTTGGGGGTTTTCCCCTCCTGTTGGTGGCGGCTGGAAGTAGATGTTAGCGTTTTTCAGGTCTGTGCTACAAACTGCAGGCAGCAGGATAATAAAAGCCAACATATTCTGCCGGCAGGTTTCTACATTTGGAGTTAATCTAGGCGTTAATAAACTGTTTCAGAGGAGCGATCATAGCGCTCTGCATCAGCAGTGCTGCGTCTGACTCCCTGCCAGCTCCCAGATCAGCTTCTCTCATTGGTTGATGTGACGCGTCTGAAGTGCGTCACGTGCTTCGGTGCTCCAAAGCTCATGATGCGGTGCTTCAGCTGCTCTAGATGTTGCAGGAGCTTTTGCTGAGCCTTGATGTGCGTCAACCATTGACTTTGCATGTAAACCTGCTGCTTCTGCTGTTCACATCACATTTGGTATGAACGGAGTATTAGCTTGAATTTTTTTTTTAACCCAGTACCGCTGCAGCTACCAGATCTGCTCGGGTCCTGCTTCCCGCCAGAAACGTTACGCTACATGACTGGCTGAACGTTGCCACATGATGTAAAACATTGTGGTTGCCCTGACAACGACAATAACATCAAGCAGTGTCCGTGTGCCGAGTCGCGAGCATCTGTAGCATTAGCGTGTCTAATGACCGATAAAATTTTCCCTGAATTATAACAAAACTGCAAAAAATCGGTTTCTGGTGAACAAAGTAACTGTTAGACCATGATATAAAGAGCTGGGCAGCGCTAGCAGTAGCTAACAGGTTAGCCTCTTTTAGCTCGCTCAGTAAGCCACATTAAACTACACTGCTTTTAAATTTGTGTCAACAACAAAGGTTTGTTGAACATTCTACATTGAAAATTCTATAAGTAGAATATTTGTCTAAAATCTCTATGAAAGTAATTTTTAAGATGCTCCATAATAACAATAATAATAATAATAATAGCAAAGTTTTATTTTAAAATAGGTAATATATTTGTTGAGACTCCAAAAGAGATCTGATCCTTAAGAAATAGGTGCAAAAAAAATTTGTCGGAGTGGAGTTTCCATATCAGATGTCATGCGAAGGGGCGGGGCTACAGCGGCTCCACTGTGGTGTCCCCCAGATCTCCCCTCTGTGGTTGTTAAAGCAGCAGTGAGCTCTCTGCTCTGCTGGGCGCCGCCTTCTTTACCTCTATTCTTTAAATCCACTATGCCCAAGGAAACACTTTGACTGTCAGTAAAAAAGATCCGCAGCATGATGCTGCTACCACCATGCCCGACAGTTGGTGCAGTCTTCCCCATCAAAGCCCTATTTGTTACTATTTAAGGCAGAACTCTCAATGTTTACGATGTCAGAGTATAAATGATGCCAGATATAGAGTGATGATCAAACAGATGAAATGAAGCTCAGCAATCTTTAGGAAAGTAGCAACCATATGGCTGAATCGTCTGGCTGCCATTTATGAGCGGACAGTCTGCAAACAGCAGGGTAGGTGAGACTAGATGACACATTCCTGGGAAAGCTCTTCATTTGGGACTTTCTGTGTTTGTCACCATTTCACCGCAAAAGGACCCAACTTTTTTTTTACAGGAAAACCCCAACAGATTTACTGTCACCATCGGACACTTACGGCTTTCACTTGCTGTTTACGTCGCAACTTCCTGCAAGTTTAGGAAGTCTGTAATGTGAGATTTGGTACAAAGAAAAAGAGCCAATTAAAGGGTCATAAACGATTTCTGATTTTATGTCCCTGGTAGAGTTTGGTTATTTTTTATTTGCTCACTTCTCAGAAATAGATTGAAGGCTACCAGACTCCAGTGAGGCCAAGCTGGGATCTCTGTGATGACCACAGGCTGAAGCAGGAACCATGCTTCCTCTGATCTGCTGTTGGGGGGAAATGGTTCAGGAGCGACACTGAATCCGTACACAGAAGCAGTTAAATTCAACCTTTTCTGCCTTTCTTCTCCTTCATGCTGCCTGATTTTGCTTGCCCCCCCCACATACACACGGTTAAATGTGTGTTTGGGTGCGGGGAAAAAAGGAAGACCCCTCCCATTTAATCCTGGCTTCATTCAGTGGCGTATCAGCGCTGCAGCACTGAAAGTCACGGCTGATTGATGCTGCTGAGCAGAGCAGCTCATCAGATGTTTCTGCAACAATTAAAGAAATGCCGCATCTCTAAAATCACCTCTGCATTAAAATCTACATTATCTGTGCTTTGCTCCCATCAACGAACAGCTTCAAAGGTTACCAGCGGACGACTTGGAAATGTTCCAGCATCTAGCAAAGGAAGCAGACATCGAGCATCAGCCATCTTTGCTCGATGGTTGTCTGTTGCTAATGGTTACTAGAAAGGATTTTCTGCACAAAGACAGAGGGATTAATGTTATACTCTGTTCTATAACGGAGATAGAAATCCTCAGTGCTTCACTGAGGTCTGTTAAATGTGCAAACAGCAGATCATTTCATTTCCTCGCCAATGGTTGGTCAGTGCAGCTAAGCAACCGGAACAGGAAGTGTGAACGGCGAGTGTTGGCCTAGTGGGTTACAGCAGTGTGTATGTGCTCTGAGAAGGCAGCAAGTACCCGGATCAATCCCCATCGCCTGCCTTCTGGGTCCCTGAGCAGAGTCCCTTAATCCCCGGGCACCGCACAATGGCAGCCCACTGCTCCCCAAGAGGATGGGTTAAATGTAGAGCATACATTTCTCCAATGTGAGATGAATACAGTTCCATTATTATACTTAGGAGGGAGGAAGCCTCATGTCATGTCATGATGCCAGTTTCTGGGTCTTTCAGCAGAACAGACCTTCAAACTGCGAAGACGTCGTCACCCAGAAATCAGAGCGTTTCAAGCTGCCCGCTCCACACTGCTGCCATAAATAAACTGCAGTGAAATGAATTCAGGAGCCCATCTTCACAAACCAACGAACTGGTTCTGTCATTAGCATGCAGCGAGTCACATCTAGACCCGCGGCCACAGAATACGACCAGAATCCTGACTTACGCAATTCTCCTTTGAACCCAACCCTTTAAGTGCCACTATACATTGACTCAAATACTCTCATGTATGAATGTCTATAATGTGATAAACATCATGGCTGTTAGAACGAGGCTCTATATCAGCTAACGGTCTCACATCGAAACTTCAAAGCCCACAGGGTTTACCTGTCGCTCTCGTCCCAGGATATACAGGTCTGGTTGGTGGTGCCCTGGAAGAGAACAACAGAGGAACAGCTCCGTCACACAGAGACCAGGCAGCTGGACCTGCTGGAAGGGAAGACTTTACTCACGTTGTAAAGGTGGGAGAACTCGACCACGACGGGCGCAGAGAGGGAGGCGGGGGTGGGCTTGATGCTCACCGATAATACCTTGGAGTTCAGAACCGTGTTGTTTCTGCAAGACAGAAAAGCAAAGAGTGAATCCACTGGGATGAACCAGGGCTGCAGGTCACATGATCCTGAGAGAGGAGGAAACTCAATCATCAAACAGCTGGATGCTAACGAGGAGCTTTTCTGAAGCAGCTATGAGGAAACAGCCTGATCAGAATAAAAAGGCTGTTTGTAGGGCCGGTGGAAACACAAGTTAATACAAGTACTCCTAATTTGTGCACATTACCTATGTTTTTGATAAAAAAAATGCCATCAGAACACGTATAATATAAAGTGTGTCTCAGCCCCCCCCCTTCAGTGTCCACCATATTGGATCAGTCCATTTGTTGCACATGTTCAGAAAGGTCCAAACAGACAGCAGCAAACCATTTGAAAACAAACCATGCAAAGAGCAGTGTTGCCAACTTAGCGCTTTAGTCGCTATATTTAGCCACTTTTCAGACCCCTCTAGCACTTTGATTTCTAAAAAGCTCCTAGCGCCAAATCTAGAGACTTTTTTCTGCTACTGGAGACTTTGGAGACAACATCTAAAAGCAGCGAACTCTGCTCTCCAGAGCGAGTAGATTGGTAACCCCGCCTCCTGCTCTCCTCTATCTTGTCTGCTGTCATGATTCATGCAGCTATTATTTCATCCAAATGAAAAATGGAGAACAGATAAGCAGATCATGGCTTGTCTACAGTGAAAAGAAGGACTGGGTTATTTACTTTGGCCTTTTTGGAAACACAGGAAGGAGCAATCAGCTAAGTGAGCTTAGTGCTTGGAAAAAATCTTTCATTCCTTTAGAGAAAGCATGAAAAGTCAGCTGAGTACAAAACATAGAGAGGAAAACAAGAAGAAAAGGGACAAGAAGAGAGGGACACAACCTAGAACAGATAATGGATGTCTATTCTATTAACATTTCTCTATCTGGAGAATGGGGCTGTTTAATGTCTTCTCCATTCAGAGGGCCCCCTGCCTGTCTTTGCCTAGGGCCTCAAATTTCTTAAATCCACCCCTGGCGGAGAAGCAGGATGCCTCAGAGTTTCTGCTGGACGACTTTGCAGACTAACCTTCTTCTTCATGCTTATCCTGCGTTTGGTGTTTTCTGATTTTTGCTTTATTTTCCATATTTGCAGATAAGTTAATGATGTAATCTAAGGTTTAAATCATGCATTAGATAAAGATATAATTTGTTTATTTCATAGGACTTTATTTATTCATACTCATGAGTTTCATATAGATTTTGACCACAGGGTTGTAAAAATCTCCACTCGGTATCTCCTGACCCCCCCTTGGGGTTCCGCCCCTCACTTTGGGAACAACTGAACGAACAGAGAAATGGAAATAGAACAGCTTGAAGAGAGAGACACCATCTAACTGCCGTCAGGAAAACATTGACTGATGTTTATATGAATGGGGGACAAAAAAAAACGTTTTAATTCAATACTTTGTCCATTTTCTAATAAAAGCGTCATGTGTTCCACAGATGGATGTTTTAGATACGATGTGTTGTTACAAAAACAAAAAAAAACCACATTGATCCAAAACATCAGTTTCGGTGAATTTGACCTTTTTTTTAAATAGCAAATAAAAATAAATCAAAAAAATGTCCTGAAAGACTCTCCTAAAGGTTAGACGTCTGCTTTATATTTCACTTTATTTCCTCACTGAGCTCATTTACTGCTTTTACTTTGTTTGTATTTTATTGTTTGTATTTAAATGAGATCAGTTCTGTTTTCTGGTCTGTTAAACTGTTTACAGATGAAGGGTTGGATAACCAGCCTGTAAAATAGTGTTTAAAGCAGGAAATGAAAAGTAGATAAATGAGTTTAGAAGAAGTTTAGATGAGAAACAACAATTGTATTATTTAAATTTTTCGCAAAACCAGAGAAGTCCACTGGCAGACCGTTTCCTCTCCACCTTAAAAATCACCTTTTAAATCTGGATAATTTGTTAAATTAAAATTAAACATAGTATTATTAATAACTTTATCAAAACACTTAACGTATCAGGCTGAATAAAATGTTAAACTTTGGCAAAAGAAAGTAGAGAAGCGCGAGCTTTGGTGGCGCAGTGGTTAGTGCACATAACCTATATACGGAGGGTTCGAATTCGATCTGTGGCCCTTTGTCGCATGTCTTTCCCCCTCTCTCATTACCCATTTCCTGTCATCCTACTGTCTGAAAAAATTCTGCAAAAGTTCAGAAATCTGGACCCACTGACCGGCCTCAGAACCACAGGAGCTGACTGGACCCACAGGGAGCTGACTGGACCCACTGACCCACCTCAGAACCACAGGGAGCTGACTGGACCCACTGACCCACCTCAGAACCACAGGGAGCTGACTGGACCCACAGGGAGCTGACTGGACCCGCAGGGAGCTGACTGGACCCACTGACCCACCTCAGAACCACAGGGAGCTGACTGGACCCACTGACCCACCTCAGAACCACAGGAGCTGACTGGACCCACAGGGAGCTGACTGGACCCACTGACCCACCTCAGAACCACAGGGAGCTGACTGGACCCACTGACCCACCTCAGAACCACAGGGAGCTGACTGGACCCACTGACCCACCTCAGAACCACAGGGAGCTGACTGGACCCGCAGGGAGCTGACTGGACCCGCAGGGAGCTGACTGGACCCACTGACCCACCTCAGAACCACAGGGAGCTGACTGGACCCACTGACCCACCTCAGAACCACAGGAGCTGACTGGACCCACAGGGAGCTGACTGGACCCACTGACCCACCTCAGAACCACAGGGAGCTGACTGGACCCACTGACCCACCTCAGAACCACAGGGAACTGACTGGACCCACAGGGAGCTGACTGGACCCACAGTTATCTCACTGTGGGTCCAGGAGATTCATTCATTTCCATGTTTGGGAAAACTGATTCTTTTTCCCCAAAAACATCTGAATTGCATAAACCTGTTTGAATTTAGATGCATTTGTTCTTCTTCACTTAGTATTCATTGCAATTTCTGCTTTCATATGATCGATCAATCATGTGGAAAAAGACAATCAGGAAAAGGAAGCCTGGACACCCAGACATCCCAACATGGCCGCTTCCTGCTCGCTCGCATCAACGCGGTGTCCTCCGCTTTCAGAAGCTCAATCAGTCACCTTAAACATTTGTGTCATCCAGTCTGTTGCTTCAGACTCATCTCATTTTTCCTGAGAGGTGCACTAAATGCAGAACAGGAGGAATGAAAACACAAAGATGGGAGACAGCATGAGGCGGAGAAACGTCAGGAAGTGCAGCCATCAGAAGATTAGCAGCTGAATACGGAGGATGAGGAGGATGGCATCATCTCCTACAGCATATGTTAGCAGAACATTATGTGCTTTTAACACATTACCATAATGGACGCCAGTTCCTGGTCTGTTAGGGCGGCTTTTACCTGTTACCTGCAGCAGCAATCCCCTTTAAATGGAACTCAGAGCTGTTCAACTTCTGCTCTTTTTTTTCTTTGCTAAAAGTCACAGCAGCAGGAAAATAAAATGTTGATAAAACAGCAGTTTGTCATGTTGAGATGTAGAATAACCCTCTCAGCGTTTGCCTTTCAGACCCTGTAGTTGTGTAGAAATGAATGAGATTTTCCTGTGGAGGAAAATGCTTAAAAAAAGCATTTAAAATTTACATCAATGGATTCCATTATGATATAAATGAACCTACCTTACCAGACTCATCATTCTTGATCATTTGTATTGTTTTCTTTGTAATCATTTAATTACTATAATGTTTATTTTTATTTTCTTTAATACTCAGCTTTATTTTATTTTTATTTTTTTTTCTATACCACTGCGATTTCTCTGTTTCTATTTCACTTTTTTATGCAGAGCACTTTCAACATTTTGCTTTCAATAAACTCTAAATGTCTCACAATCAGGATGAACCAAAAAAAAGGAGAATATTTTCTGATAAAGCTTTGAAAATCAAAGCTTTGAAATCAAAGCTTTGATTAAATAATTTGTTACATGATTGAGCAACAAAGTTCTTAAAAGCTCATAGCTATATTAAGGTAACTGGTAACTGCAAAAAACGATGAGCCACTGGGGTTAGAGGTCATGAAAATAGAAATGTTAATTCTATTGCTAATGCAAAAAAAAAAATTAATGGAATAAAAAAAATAGCCATTTCTTACTGGAACAATGCAAAATATTTAGCTCCCTAAATCTATCTAAAAAACAACGTAATATTTAGATAGAATATATGCATAAGAGAGATGGGGTTGGAGGGATGGGTTTTTTTCTTATCAATTAATCATTTCCTTTTCCTTCAGTCTTACCTCTGCAGAGACAAAATACTGCCCAGGTTTCTGTAGAGAACCACACCGGTCACAAAGGTCGACGAGTCGTCTGTATCTGTTCGGGAGAAGCAGAAGGAAGGACACAGTGAGCGGGCCGGTCCGGTTCTGATGGAGCGCTAGGCTACTATTTGATAAAACATGAAGAAAAACTCCTCAGACTGAATGACTTTAACAGACTTTCAGTTCATTCATGAGTGATTTATTTTGGAGGATAATGTTTCACAATAACTGAAGAGAATATTGACCAATCACGTTCCAGAAACATTTCCTGACTTCTTTTTTCCCAATATGGTTCACCAGTGACCAAAACACAAGAGCAAGAAAACTCCTCTAACTAGCAGTCAATTAATATTAGCATCAAGAGCTGCGTGTGCAAAAAGTTCAGTTTCATGAAAGCTTAAAAACAATCTTCTGAAGGTCCCTGAGTTACTTATCCAGCCATTTATTCCAGAAGCTCGACCTCAGAATCCAACATTGTTTTTGGAGAGAATGATACTTACAGGTCAACAAATTCTAGACCTTTTTACAATTTTATAGAAAGTAAAACAAGATGTAAAAAGTTTCACAGGTTGGAAAACTTCTTATAGTTTCCTAACAGAGCACTTCGCTCTCAATCTGCAGGTTTACTAGTGGTTCCTAGAATTTCTAAAAGTAGAATGGGAGGCAGATCTTTTAGTCATCAGGCTCCTCTCCTGTGGAACCAACTACCAGTTTTAGTCCGTGAGGCAGACACCCTGTCTACTTTTAAGGCTAGGCTTAAAACTTTCCTTTTTGATAAAGCTTATAGTTAGGGTGGCTCAGGTTATCCTGAGCTATCTCTATAGTTCTGCTGCTATAGGCTTAGACTGCTGGAGGACATAGGGACCCCTTTTTCATCATTCTGCTTCATTCTATCTCTATTCTCCCACTCTGCAGAATCTGTTAGTTCAATCTCTAACGTTCTGCTCTCTCTGCTTTTTCTCATAGTAGCTTCATCTGGTCTGTTCCTGTTTGGCTGTGACTCCATCCTGGAGAGAAACATCAGCTGTGCTGCTGCCATCAACACCTTTGTTTATAGATGATAGAGTTGGGCCTGGTTTTTTAGTGTTTAGTCCTGTTTCTCTTCTATAGCTATGGGCTCAACTTTTACTGGGACTAACTGGATGTTCTCTTTTTCATTTGATTAGCTGTTTCTTTCCCAGGCAAAGCCAACTGTGGAGCTAGTTTACTGTTACCTTTTTTAACATAGAATGTTTTTATAGATCAGTGCTTCTATGTTCATTTTCTATGTCTGCTTCTGTCTCCTTGAACCCCAGTGGGCCTCAGCAGATGGCCGCTCACACTGAGCCTGGTTCTGCTGGAGGTTTCTTCCTGTTCAAAGGGAGTTTTTCCTCTCCACTGTCGCTACAAGCATGCTTAGTGTGAGGGATTGCTGAAGAGTCAATGAGTCGATGCAATCAGCTGGTTTTCCTTAGATAGAAAACTTTGAATCAATCTGACTGGATGATCTGGATCTATAAAGTGACCTGAGATGACATGATGTGAATTGGAGCTATAGAAATAAACTGTATAGAATTGAATTACCGTGGCTTAATGTCTGTCAGAACCGTACCTGTGGTCACTGACCAATGATAGCATATGGAATGTTAGAGACAACAGGAAGCTGCCACAGACAGGATCACCATTAGCCCCGCCCACTGACTAACACGCCCAAAGTTGATTGTAAAGTAGATATCTCGGCCCAAACTATAGATCCATGAAGGCTAGAGTCAAAGCAAAACAGGAAGAACCATCGGCCTGTCTTCCTCAGAGTGAAGCAGCCAATCAGATGTCAGCGTGTCTTAAAAAGCCGGCTTAATCCCGCCTACTGAGTTTGATGTGTGAAGTTGACAGTTTCCATGATGTCATGAAAACTACACAGAGTCAGCATAATGAAGTAAATAAATAAACTGAGAGATACAGGATGAAACGATAATCAGTATATCTAACCGGAAATGGTCTCCTTTAATCTTACATTTTATAATTTAATAGCAGATATAATTATTTGATTATGCTTAAAATTAATTCACTGTACTCTACTGTTTAAAGTTAAGTTTATTTCATGGTAGAGTAACATGTATTTATTTTTATAATATCTTCAGACATTTACTTTCTTCTATCATCTCCTTTAAGCCTCCATAGCAGATCGGCTGCTGGAAAAGAGAGAAAACATTTTGGTTCTCTGAGAGTCAAGGTTCATCTCTAACTACTGTTAAAGGGACACTATGCAACATTTTTCAGTTAATTAATGTGTTCCATAACGTTATGGATGATTAAATGAGTCATTTCAGGTTGAACAAAGGTATTCTCGGCCGCCCTGGTGGTCTGTGGGGGAAATACTGCACTTGCAACTGCAGGAGCACCGACCCGCACCCACAGGCTCAGAAGTCTCGTGAGAGTCAGTCTTGCTTTACGGCGAGAACTGCTACACCCCCCAGTTAAAAGCAGTCTCGTTGCTAGCACAGTGGCAATCTTTGTGCAGTAATGCTACATTCACGCAGCAAAATGGCGTCTGCTGCTTCATTTTTGCTGCTTGTACCAGTTAGTTCTGACGCGCGGCTGAAGCAGCTTTGCTGCTCTGGCTGCGCGGTGCAAAAGTGTGTCTGACGCGCGTTGGGCGGAGCTTCACTATCCTTTCTCTGCCTTGCAGCTATATTTGCTGTGATCAGTGGGAATAAAGTAGTTTTAATATGTGTTTAAGTGAGAAAATACACCTGAAAACGTAATCAGTGCAGTCAGTTCATTCAGATTATTATCCTGCCTTCAATATTTTTTCTGTCGGAGCCGCTCAGACCCCCACATACCAGGGATGCGCCGACAGTATGGATCCCTTCATCAGCAGCGGTTCACCGCGGCAGCTGGTAGGTGTTTTTCATCTAAATAATCCAAACTGCATATTCTGCCGGCAGATTTCTGCATTTTAAGTTAATTTAGGCGTCAATAAACTGTTTAAGAGGAGTGATCATCAGCGCTGTGTCTCTCTCCCTGCGTTAAACGCGCCCGATGCGCTGCTTCAGCTGCTCAGACGTGCTGCGCCTGGTGCTCAAAACGCGCCGCTGGACCTTTTGCTGCGCCTTGACGCGCGTCAACCATTGACTTTGCATGTAAACTCGCTGCTTCTGTCGCGCCAGCTACGTCCAGTGTGAACGCAGCATTAGTCATTCGCTGCTAAGCTCAAAACAACCGCGCCTGGCTTGACGGAGAAACCAGGAGAACAGCTGAGCATATTTACGACAGTGCACTTTTACTTTCGCCCTCTGGGGGGAGCCTCGCTGGGAAATCAACACCGGTTGCATAGTGTACCTTTAAACAGCGACGGATGATTTATTGCTTTGCTATTTCTACAATGTAGATCTTATAAGAACTGATTTGCAGTGGGTAGCACTGCTGCCTTGCAGCAAGAAGGTTCTGGGTTCGATTCCCGGCCCGGGGTCTTTCTTCACAGAGTTTGCATGTTCTCCCTGAGCATGCATTGGTTCTCTCCAGGTACTCCAGCTTCCTCCCACAGTCCAGAAACATGACTGTTAGGTTAATTGGCTTCTCTAAATTCACCTTAGGTGTGTGAATGGTTGTTTGTCCTGTTTGTCTCTGTGTTTCCCTGAGATGCACTGGAGACCTGTCCAGGATGGACCCCGCCTCTCTCCTGTAGACAGCTGGAGGTAGGCACCAGCACCCCTCACCACCCCAGCAAGGATAAAGCTAATGGTAAATGGATGGATGGAGGAATCAATTAATTAATTTTAATGTTATAATAACAACATAATTGGAGCCTCCAGTTTTTTCTGCATTTCTTTTGAATTTTTCCAGCATCCATCTGATCCCAGCACACTGAGAACAAAGTTAGGAAAGACTCTGTCTTTGTGACTACAAGCTACTGAGCATGAAGTGGATGCATCACATCTTTGGACCTTATCCCTGGTCATTGAGGCCAACCCGGTTCAGAAACCTGCTCCAGTGGCCTCCGGTCAAAGCCAGGCTTCCTGCTGCAGCTCCACACTGAAAGTCGGCCTCAGCTCATAAATCCATCCGTTTCAGAGCAGTTTGGGAGGAGATTTGTCAAAACTTGACAACCGGACTCGGCAGAGGCACACTCTGGGCTGAAACAGGATGCAACCCCACAGCATGCCATAGAAAGCACATCTCCATCTACTGGGCCATCTGAAGACGTCCAAGTCTTCTGCTCCAGCAAACATGGCAGCCTGAGAGCGCGCAGCAGTGTGGCGCGCAGAGAAGACAGGCGCTCCCAGGCAGCAGCTGAGCTCTCATGGGCATCACGGGGGAACCAGGCTGGCTGTGTGGGAGTGGGATGAAGTATTATGTGTCCTGCTCATGCATGCTTTGGCCGCCACTTTCAATATGCTCAGCCAGATTGACTGTTCCCAACATGAAAACTGTCTGCAGGGATTAAACCATCAGTTCTAAGTTTGTCTGCAAGACGGAAACAAAAAGAAATGAAAATTCACTTATTCAGCTCAGATAGAAACAGTGAGCAGGGAAAGGAACCAATGTTTGAGTCTGATAATAAAATGTCTGTGGCTGTGGGCTTAACCTGCAGGATGTTTCCTTCATTAAAAGCAGCAAAAACAAACACCTCCAGATCTACCTGTGCCATCTCTAAGGCCCCTCCCACCCGCAGCTTCAACTGTAGGGCACTGAATCAGAAACACCTGCATGTTGACCATGACCTGCAGACCGTCCTCCTCTGAAACAGCTTATTAACGCCTAAATTAACCTGACTCCGCCAGATGGATTTGCTCCGCATATCCATCTGGAAACCTTCCGTTGAAGTAATTTTGGGAAGGGGCGAAAATACTGGTTAGCTGATTGGCCTATGTTGGTGATAGACGGGCCAAATAAACCAATCAGATCAACGAAGCATATGACGTACTAACAGAGCGACGACGAAGAGGAGCCAATTGATAGATCAAACTCTTGCTGAAACCAGTCGGGAGAAGAGCAAAAACATCTTTTCCTCTGAGAAAAGCCTCCAGAGCAGTGTTTTGCTCTTCTTTCAGTGAAGAAATACTCTGTAATTCC